ATTTATTATGTAAATACAAACTTTTATTTTGAATACAATTAATCGCGATTAATCGATTTGACAGCACTAATATTATATATATATTCAAATTTTGGGGTCAGTATTGAAGGTCTTATGGTCACCAAGCCTGGATTTATTCGATCAAAAATATAATAAAAACAGAAATATTGTGAAATATTATTACAATAACTGCTTTCTATTTAAATATATTTTAATGTAATTTATTTCTGTGATGCAAAGATACATTTTCAGCATCATTACTCCATTCTTCAGTGTCACATGATCCACATGCTGATTTGCTGCTCAAGAATTATTTCTTATGAATGTGGAAAACAGTTGTGAAACCCTTAAATAAATATTTTGTAACATTATAAATGACTTTCCTGTCACTTTTGATCAAATAATGCATATCCCTGTGGAATGACATCCAATTTCTTAAAAAAAAAAAAAAAATCTTACTGACCCTAAACTTAAAATTTTGATATTTGTGCATCCGTAGTTACAACACAACTCCTCTTTAAAACCTGCATGATCTGAGGTATCATATATATCTGTGGGATGTTTTATGTGCCAAAGTTTAATACTTAGGTTAGGGTTATATTACTAACCCCAAGTATGAGCAAAACAAATACTTATGCAAACACCACTAATTACATGTTACAGTACCACTATCTCACTCAAAGGGCGCTGAATTCAGAGAGAGCGAATGGATGTCACTCCTTATATATCTTATGCAGAACACTCTATAATGTAGTAATGATGTGTTGAAAGATTTTTACACAAAGTATAGGATCTCTTTACAATATCTCCGATTACGTTTTCACAACATGGCAACATTTTTATCCCATGGTCATTTTGACAAACAAGCATCTTAATCCCACTGTTAGGTTTGATTAACATGACATTAATCATTGCCACATTGTACATTAGCAGCATTTAAAATAACACTAGAAATATTCTGCCCCATGTCATGTTTGCCCTGATACTGGCTGCCATGGGACAAAACATAAAGAGCTTTATCATGTAATTTCCTTTTATACAGAAGAATAACAAAACAGACATCATTTTAAATGAGAATCCTCAATCACATAAGGAAAAAATACAGAGAAAGTTGTAAATAGAGAAACACGGAGAAATACGACTGTATTCCAAGTTAAATCCCAAGTTAAATCCTCTGGTTTTCATGGCTCTGCAGAAACAGCTTATTCGAGATAATAGCAATCCCTAAAACTCATTTCGGATTTTGGATAAAACTCTTCTCCAGTACGTACCACTAGCTACAAACAAGGCAGGCCATTTACACAATATTGACCATTACTGACTACAAACTATAAGCTTTATAAAGCCATATACAGTAACTGTACCTCTAATAACCCCTTTCTGACTAAATAAATATGCTCCAATGAGATACTGTCTACACCACAATAATTATTAACATTTAAATACTGTTTATATTAAAATACTGTTTACGACACTTTCTACATATTGTAAACAAAGATTGTATTTCCCCCCCAACAAATGATTTAGTGACAGAAGGAAAAATGGTCAGAAAATGTTGATCATCATGCTCAGGAGCTCAAACTAAAGTTTCTAATTATGTCAAGTTTAGCAATTTTGAAGACATCTAAATAGTTTTTGATTTGTGTGATTTCGTTTGTTTAATTAAATGTGTAAATGTGTAACGTTACTCTTTTTATACAGGATTATGATTTTCTATTTACAATTTGGGAGAACTAGGACTGAAAAAAACAGATTACAATATTATCATAAACAAAGTTCCTGATATCAACTTACCAGTTGAGCAGATTTTTCAGCATCTCCTTTTCTTCCTTTCTTCTCATTTTTCTTTCGGAAGATTTCTTGCAACTAAAAAAAGAAATAGAGAAGGAATAATGGCGTGTTGAAAAATTATTTTTAAAAACAAACATCTATGGACAGAATCAACACTCTTATCAACTCACCACAAGAAATTCCCCTTTATCCACCATCTGGTTACCGTCAGCATCAAACATGTTAAAGGCAATCTTAAAGCCTGCATGAGGCTCTGAAGAACAGTTGTGAAAAGAATGTCATATTATTATAATAAGCTGCGGCATGAATTTAACGAAACAATAGGACGTATAAATATATTTGCTCATTGAACACTGCAAATTTTGCAGCCGATCTGTTAACCCCTATTAAACATTCAACCACTAGGTGGCTTAATCAGAGGACAGGCCCACATTTCTAAGAACCTGTTATCACCCCAAGAACTTGCAATACACTTTTGCTTTCAGCACTTTCCTTTCATCAGTCTCTTGAGATGTTTTTGAACCCGTCAAGAGCAACATGTCTTCACTTTGTAATGTTACCCAAGCAACAGCAGAAGTGAGAACATATGTTAGGCAGCGTGTTTCTGTGTTACAGCTACTTAACACTAGCTTAATCAAACGGCCACAGACAACTCTGTACGAATGTAAAAACTGAAAAATTCCAAATATGAAAATTCTGCCATTAATTACTCACCCTCGTGTTGTTCCAAACCCACAAGACCTTCGTTCATCTTCGGAACACAATTTAAGATAGTTTGATGAAATCTGAGGGCTCTCTGACCCTCCCATAGACAGCAAGGTAACTACCACGTTCAAGGTCCAGAAAAGTACCAAGACGATCGTCAAAGTAGTCCGTGTGACATCAGTGGTTCAACTGTAAAGTTACAAAGCTAAGCGGACACGCCAGATCTGGGTCAGTGCCACCACGCGCTCGTGAACGCGCGTCCACAAGTGACGCAGTAGAATATAGAATAAAGTCGTTATATTTGTTTTGTTTGCGCAAAAATGTATTTTCATAGCTTCATAACTTTACAGTTGAACCACTGATGTCACACGGACTACTTTGTCGATCATCTTGGTACTTTTTTGGACCTTGAACGTGGTAGTTACCTTGCTGTCTATGGGAGGGTCAGAGAGCCCCCAGATTTCATCAAAAATATCTTAAATTGTGTTCCGAAGATGAACGAAGGTCTTACGGGTTTGGAACAACACGAGGGTGAGTAATTAATGACAGAATTTTCATTTTTGGGTGAACTAACCCTTTAACATCTCAGGTATTCCTCCTAAACACTGAATGGAGAACAAATGAAGACTTTTAATCATGTCTCCTGATTATATGTGAATAAGGGAAAATGCATACTTTACAAATGCAACAGTTCATTTACGTTTTTTCCCCCACTAGTTACATTTTGTGGTGTGAAAATGTATTTTTAAAAATGAAAATACATGACCCATTTTTGAAACATCCTAACTTACAAACAAATATTTTTACTGACAATTGGAGATAAAATCTGGGAAATGCTACACTTTTTGGGTAATA